TTTGTATATTTTGGAGACTAATACAAAGATTTTTCATGCAACTGGTCTCGTTTACTTTGTGGATTCGAGTTTTTAATTCAAACTGAGATGTGACATTTTTTGAGAACTTTTCACTGTAACAGAAAAAGTTAAATGTGACATTTTCTAAGAGCTTTTTATTATAAAAATTTAAAACTGAAAACTTGAATCGATGAAATGAACGGGGCCTTAGAGTTAAGTATAATGTGCATAACTATAGTCAAATTCTACTACAAATTAAACTAGACGATTGGGAGAGAAGAAAAAAATATGTATATACGAGTAAGAATGTACAGTATACAGAAGAAATACATCCTCGGCCAGCCCTAAAGGGTAATGGAGAGGTATGAATAGGTAGTATTATGGGTTTGATGAAAGTTGACCTTAGTGGGCAAATGACAAAAAGGGGTGTGTGGTGTTTTTTATGATGAGAAATAATTTGCCCCATAGTGGGGTTTGGTTTGGCTTCCATGTGTAAATGCTTTGTGATCATATGCAATATGTATCACATATTTTTTTTTTGTTATCTATTTTTTTCCCCTATTCAAATCCCCCACGCCTTGGCCCCACCCCCACACCCTTTTTGTCCCTTTCACCCCTTTTTCTTCCCCTTTTTTTTTCTTTTTTCTTCTCCCTTCCTCCTCCTCAATTATTTTTATTCATTTTTTTTTCTCCTTTGCGTTTTTAAGCTCTTTGCTTTTGGTTTTGTTTTTGTTTTTTTTTTTTCTTTAATTTATGGGCACTTTTGCTTTTTGTCAAAGCACCACACGCAACCCAATATTGATTGTACGGTCATGAGATGGACCTTCTTTTGGTCTTGGCGTGGGCCAATTTGCTAAGTTGGGCATCACTAGAACAAAACACGGACACAAAACACACGCACAATTCTTCGCACTCAGGAATCTTTGTTCTATTTTTTTTTTCCTCCTAAAGTACTACACATCAAGTTTTATCTATGGATTTTGAAGAAATTCTTCAGCATAAAATCAAATTACCATATTCATATTAGGCCACCAAGAAATGATTTTAGTGACTTCTTGGCCTTATGGTCACTATTATAGTCATGGAATAACAATCCAATGTCAAGCATTTCAAGAACCAAGTTACAAGAGATGGCCCTTAAAAGTATGGTTTACATGTGACTGAGTGAGACTAAGCAACAATAATTTGGTGAAAAATACAGATCATGCACTGAGAAGTAAAGGGGGGGGAAAAAAAGTGTATTTTTAGTGGAACAAAAGCTGGATTGGGAAAATGATGTGTGATGATGCCAGAAGGACATGCATCAAAGATTAAAAACACTCTTGAGAGACAAATATTAGAAACTGTGATGTCATAATACAAAAGCCAGCTTCTTGTCTGTACCATTTTTACCTAGACTATACAAAATCTCAAAAATGGTGAAAATAAAGGTTTCTATGGTAGAGTCTGAAAAATAAACTATTGAAATGTCTTTATTATGTATTAAAATTGTTTGTTCTGAAACACGCATGAAGGACCGAAAATAAAAGAGAAAAAAAAAATTGGATCCATTTAACTAAGGATATGAAATGTTAATTTGGTATTATAAAATTTTGTCGTTTATTAAGGGAGTTAAATAGTTTCAACTAGGTATCCTAAGAAGATATTGTGTCTCCAAAGTGGGAGTTGGATGTCAAGTATCGGATTCCCATTGAAGTGATGAGCAAATGAAGTGTCTGTTATGTTGGAGTGTTCATTTTGAGTTTCTTGTTGAAATGTTGATTCGTCAAAAAGTGGACTAAATATACGTAGGAAATTCAAAGAGACTGCTTGAAAGAGATTGATGTATTCAGCACCTTAATTCAAAGGCTGCTGTGCATTTTGTATAAAGATTTTTATAGAAATATGGAGTGATAAAAACTTAGTTTTTTTAGCACATTTACCCTCTAAACTTATCGTGGCTTAGTAAATTGTCATCTAAATTTTTAATTTTGGCAAGTTATCCCCTCAATTTGTAAAGCTGCTGCAATATGCCATATTTTGACAATGATTGTGTTAAATTAGTGTAAAAGAACACGTTCAACTAAAAATTTCAACATTCCAATTCAAATGTAACACAAATTTTTTAATATTTCAACTTTTAATCCCTTAAATCTAATAAGAATTTTGAAGAAATTCAGTTAAATGGGGCACATTGCAATAAATTTATAAGTTCAGAAAGTAACTTGCTAAAATTAAAAGTTAATGGTAAATTGCTAGATCACGACAAATTCGGGGGACAATTATGCTAAAAACCCTAAAAACATTATAGGAGAATGGTCAGGGAAAAACAAAATCTTACTCAGGTAGTTTTGAGTCGTCCTTATAATCATTCATCTAATTTGACATTTTTTTTGGATTATCCTTATAATTATTGATCTAATTCGACATTTAAAAATAACAGTAGTGGCAGAAAACCCTTACTATATATGTGCATTTCTCTGAGGAAATTAATCATGTGTACACATTATTGATCTAAATATTGGTCTAATTTGGCATCTAAATGTGTGGTGGGCGTGCCAAATTTGATTGGGATTTCTTAAGTTTTTTTAATTACCCTTTCTCTCCATTTAAAAAGCAATGTACATAATAATTGGATTGAAGTGACAAAGCCAGGAAAAAGTGTAGTGTTTCAAACCTTGTTGGAATAACTCTTGAACTCTTTTTGCCAATAACATTAGTTATGGAAGTTATTTATCTACTTTTGCCAATTAAAAGTTACTTAACTTTGCAATAAAGATGCGAAATAAAACCTCATTTTCGCTTGAGTTAAATGAAAGAGCACTACTGTTTAAATTTGTAGCTCACTAGTCCAATTTCCCGATGAACAGCAGAGAGAGAGAGAGAAAAAAAAAAAAAAGAAGAGAGAGAGAGAGAGAGATAGAAAATGGTGTATAAATTCAAACGCAAAATTAGCATGTCTTGGTGGTGGCCAAATAAGTCAAATTAAAATGGAACCCACAGAAAACAAGTTAGTTATAAAGTCAGATTAACAATTGAGGGGCCAAAGGATTAAAAAGCAGAATAGATTAGGTTGATGAGGTAGACAATGGATTCAAAAGGATGATTGAATTGAATAAGAAGAGAGAAGAAATCTATGCATGTGCTACTTAAATTATTGAGCCTTCCTAGCATCTAACGTCAAAATCCTAAGAAGGGAAAGGAAAAATGTCCCAAAGTTTTTTTTTTTTTTTTTTTTTTTTTTTTTTTTTTTTTTTTAAGGCCCTCTTGGAGTTGGACCCATATATCCTTAGAAAATCAATCAACTTTGTACCTAACCATTGCATGTTCAACTTCCAAAAAGTGTTTTGGCTCCAAAAAAATCAAAAGTTATATTCACCAAGTAGAAATACAAGGCACCACAATTATTGGACTACTATGTACATGATTGAGTGATTTTTGTGAATGCATAGTAGCTGATTTCTGGCGCAAAATCATTTTTATTGTGCTGCTGATATGATATGGCAGAAAATAAGTTTGGATATCCTAATTTAATGAAAATGATTGGAAAACTGAAAAATGTTTATGGATTTATTACCTCCATTACAAATTTGACATATATATATATATACATACTAGCCAACCATTTTTCTTACTCTATGGAACATTGGGGGCCCTTGGGCCACTTCCTCATTTGCCCAATTAGAAAGATAAGAAGGCTTCTCTTTCTTGTTTGAGCCCAACAAAGTGGGTGGGGCCAATTCAGTAGAGCAAGAAGAAGTGGTCACTGGTCAATGGTCACCCAAATGGGCAAAACAAAAACCAAGAAGAAGAGTGATTTGTGAAAAGGTACCCAACTAGCTTAAAAATATACATACATATATATACACGATAACTAGTTGCTCATCGAATATTGAAATTTGATTATGTGAGGCGATAAAAATCTAATTTTATTAATTGACATAAATTTTTATTTAGTCTAACTGTGTAATTTATAAAAAATCGTCGGATTAATATGTAACGGTTATACGGTTATATATTGATCCGACGGTTCTTTATAACCGTGTGCTACACATGGCATTTTGTGGAAACTTGGTAACTGGAAAAAGAAGATTCCAATTTCACAGTTAAAAAGTGCTAAGCTCCAATCCATGACAGATTGACATTCCTTGTGAGAGCATGAATAATTAGGATCAGAAAAGGTACAGGACAAAACGTGATAAATAACTTCATAATGAAGATTTCTCTCTTCATCTCTCTCTCTCTCTATCTGCTTCTGAAGCCTGCAAATTTCACCACAGCTACAGAAACAAGTGCTGTTTCTGAGCTGTGAAATATGTGCTTTTCGACAGTGATGGGATATGGGGACGAGGTTTCTGTGTAGTCAGGCTAGTAATAATGCAAAAGTCCTTTTCTTTTCTCGCTTGTGCTTGCTAAAGCATCAACACTGTACTGCAAACAAAACGACACGTTTTTCTCCCTCTTGGGTTTCAGAGTTTGTTTGCCAACACTTGCCAGGCTTTGTTCATGATCCCATGGCGCCTTTTTCATTGTTATTACTCTCCTTGTGTTGAGATGCTTTTGACGATGCAAAAGTTTTCTTCAAGAGAATTATCATATGACGTTGTTTCAAGGTTCAAATAGAACTCGTTCAGTTCGTTGATTCGAATTTTTAATTTGAGTTTAGATGTGACTTTATTTGAGAGCTTTTTACTGTAGTAAAAAAGTTAGATGTGATTGTTTATGAGAGCTTTTTACTGTAACAAAAATTGAATTTTAAACTCGAATCGGTAAAATAAACGGGACCATAATGTATTGTTTCAAACTTTGGAGCTTTCTACAGTAGGGTATGAATATTATATCCGAATAAAATCACATTAAAATAAAATAATCAGACCTTTTAACGCGCGGTTTTATGTAACGGGCTCATGTTCTTAATTTTTGAATAAATACGCAGTTTGATTATTGTCAAAAATATGTTAGCGTTTCTTGTTCTTTTCTAGACTTCAGAAAATTTTGAAGTGAGGGTAGTATTTATACACAAATGAGTGAATTTCATCCACTTATATTATTCCCAAATAGTACTGCAATCGTTAGCTGGATGACTGTTTGCTACCTAAAATGCAAACAATAGATGAGGTCCATTGCACAAAGTAGGTCGTAAAAAGTGATGTGAATTATTGAACAGAGAATTAACTTTTACATAAATTGAAGATCTATGCAATTATTCTCCCCATAATTCCAAGTCAATTATTGACCGATAAATAATTTTACCAGTAAATGGTATTCCTCCTGTTGTGAGATGCAGACCTCGTTCACTTCACGGATTTGAGTTTTCAATTCGAGTTGAGATGTGATATTTTGTGAGAACTTTTCACTGTAACAGAAAAAATTATATGTGATATTTTCTGAAAATTTTTTACTGTAAAAACTTAAAATTAAAAATTTAAATCGGTAAAATAAACGGCCTACAGTTTCACATAAGAAGACTGATCAATTCTTCCAAATTGATCAACAAGTGCGGTTGATGGTGGCCCAAATTTTATGGACCGGGTATATAGAGATGAGCAATCCAACAGTGAATTTTGTGGAAGTAGATGGCCCAATAATAACATTAGCTTTTGGGGTTTCATATATTGGACCGGACTTTTTGAACAAGTTCTCTTCTCAAAGTCTTTCCTGAAGCTGACTTGGGAACACTGCTTACAAAGGTCACTCTCCGCAATCTTTTGAATGGTGCAACCTGTGGAGGTCAAAGGAACATGATCTCAATTTAATGTCAACTTGGCAAGTATATATTCAAACATCAGAAGAACAGAAGCAGTTCAGTTCCGAAAGGAGCCATGGAAATTGGATTTTCTAAGAATTTAGACTTCCGTTTTAAAATGTTATCTTGGTAAATAGAAACGATCCAACGTCTTTATAAGTCGGTGGTTATTTATATATGTAGATGATATCGGACTTGGGTTTATTTTACTGTTTACGGGGGAGAACCATCATAAAGGCTTCCAAGAGTTGCATCTCTAAGTGCGGTTGAAATATTCGTTCTCTGATTTGAATCATGGTTCATAATTCGCTATAGTATTTTTTTTTTCACAAAAAATACACGTAAAGAAAAAATAATTCTAATCTCATGGTTGTAATCCATAAACTAAACGGGCTTTAAGTTGTACTCTTCATAGAAGAAATAATGCCTTGAAGACACCTTTACCTGTTTCTCAACAAATCTCTGAACACCTTGTTCGGTTAGAGAGCTGTTGGGCGAGCGAACGATGAATGCAATGGGGACCTCACCAGCTTTCTCATCGGGGAATCTAAAAGTGAAAATTATTGTAAATTGTTAAAGCATGGTTTTTGAGGATTCTGCGAATGATGGTTCAGTTGAAGTTCTTATTAAGAAAGAAAATGTATGACAGCAAAGTTAAGCAGAAAATGCATGGCAGCAAATTTAAGCAGCTTTTCGACTTACGGAATCACGACTGCTTCCAATATTTCAGGGTGAGAAAGCAACAATCCTTCAAGCTCAGCTGGGGCCACCTAAACATTGAAAAACCTTATTGCAATGTTTTTTAAAATTTCTACACCAAATATTTTCAAATCAGGAAGTTAGGAAGGCAGATCTGTAATACTTAACTTTCTGATAAATTAGCTTATTTAAGAAAAATAATAAAAATAGTTTTATTTTATAATTTTAGAAATGTATTACGGATGGAAAACTTGGTGTAGATATTAAAGAAATTAAGTATGAGGTGGCTACTCAACCTTTAGATGTAAACATATAGTGCCAAGAGATGTTTAATAGGTATCATGAATCGGTTTTTAGTTTTGGTGTGTCAGCACTATAAGAAGAAAGTAGTAATACGGTGCAAAGTAATAGAAATTAGGAAGAAGGCCACATGGTCACCTAGTTAGGTTAGCACTGATGAGTCACGTGCCTTCTTAGCAATAAGAAACTGAAACAACGAAACCTTCTCAAGTTTATATACATATAAGAGAGATATTATGTGGGCATTTAATAGCATATCCTACAACAAAGAAAAGAATGAGAGGGAAAAGAGAGAGAGGAAATAAGAGGGAAAATAAAATAAAAAGAAAGTGAAGATTTATACTCTCTACCAGTTATTTGTAAGTAGACTTTCCACTGCATCACTTGAATAGTAGTATATTTTTAATATATATATATGTTATTGTTGTTAAGTTTTCATGAGATTTGGAAATTATTTCTAAGTATGATATGAATCTTGGGTCTATTATGAACTGATTGAAATACGATGAAGGACCAAATCCTGGAGGAATAAGAGATTCCGTGACAGGGGTCATATGAAAGAGGTTCTAATAACACAAGATTAATATTATACAAGAGGGTTATAAATGTTTAAGAAAGTATTTGAAAGTACAAATTATTTATGGTTTACTTACTGAGCTTGCGCTCATATAGTTCTCGTGATGCAGGTAAGTGTTAAAATAGAAGTTCCAGTTGATTGAGCAAGAATGGTTCAAGATCTCATGACAAGTTAGAAGATCTTAAGAAATGAAATTTGTAATATTAAGAATTCTATTCGATGATTTTATTTGTGATAGATATTATTTCTCTATTAAGCAATATTATTTATTTTAGTTAACGTTTCTCCCGAGCTAGCGTTGCTTTTAGCTGCTAGCTCGGGAGGGGCTTTACAATTTGGTATCAGAACAATACCATCAGAACAATATGTTTCTGGAGACATAGTGTGAATGTCATGGGACCAAGTATTCAATCAACAAAGGATTTATGTTAGGAGGAATAGATATGTTTCGATTTTCCTAGAACCATCATGCTTATTTGGAGAAATTAGAATCATCAAATTTCTTGGACGAAATTTTTATTTGATGACAGTTGTTTAGTTAGGGATATTGGAATCATCAAATTTCGTGGACAAAATTTTTTTTAATGACAGTTGTTTAGTTAGAGATATGGGAATTGTCAAATTTTGAGGACGAAATTTTTATAAGAGGGGAAAAATTGTAATACCCAACCTTATGTGAAATTAGCTTATTTAAGAAAAATGATAAAATAGTTTTACTTTATGATTTTAGAAATGTATTACGGATGGAAAACTTGGTGTAGATATTAAAGGAATTAAGCATGAGGTGGCTACTCAACCTTTGGATGTAAACATATAGTGCCAATACATGCTTAATAGGTATGATGAATCGGTTTCTAGCTTTGGTGTGTCAACACTATAAGAAGAAAGTAGTAATACGGTGCAAAGTAATAGAAATTAGGAAGAAGGCCACTTGAACACCTAGTTAGGTTAGCCTTGATGAGTCACGTGCCTTCTTGGCAATAAGAAACTAAAACAACGAAACCTTCTCAAGCTTATGTACATATAAGATTGATATTATGTGGGCATTTAAGAGCATATCCTACAGCAAAGAAAAGAATGAGAGGGAAAAGAGAGAGAGGAAATAAGAGGGAAAATAAAATAAAAAGAAAGTGAAGATTTCTACTCTCTATTAGTTATTTGTAAGTAGACTTTCCACTGCATCACTTGAATAGTAGTATATTTTTAATTTATATATGTTATTATTGATATGTTTTCATGAGATTTAGAAAGTATTTCTGAGTATGATGTGAATCTTGTGTCTATTATGAACTGATTGAAATGCGATGAAGGGCCAAATCCTTGAGGAATAAGAGATTGCATGACAGGGGCCATATGCAAGAGGTTCTAATGACACAAGTTTAATATTATACAAGAGAGCCCTAAATGTTTAAGAAAGTATTTGAAAGTGTAAATTATTTATGGTTTACTTACTGAGCTTGCCCTCATATAGTTATCGTGATGCAGATAAGTGTGAAAATAGAAGTTCCAGTTGACTGAGCAAGAATGGTTCAAGATCCCATGACAAGTTAGGAGATCTTAAGAAATGAAATTTGTAATATTAAGAATTTTATTCGATGATTTTATTGGTGATAGATATTATTTTTCTATTAAGTAATATTATTTATTTCAATTAATATTTCTCTTGAACTGGCTTTGTTTTTAGTTGCTAGCTCGAGAGGGGCGTTACAAGATCACCAAGATTTAGAGTACCTGGTAACCATAGCACTTGATGAGGTCTTTAATCCTGTCCACAACAAACAGTTGTCCCTCTTCATCAAAGTATCCAAGATCTCCCGTGTGTACCCAACCTTGCTTGTCTATGGCCGACTTTGTCGCCTGTGGACTGTTGTAGTATCCTGAACGAATTGACATGAAATGCTAATCATTCTTACTAATAGTTCATTTAAAAAAAGATGAAAATTTTTATTGTCCTTGGTAAATTGCCATGTCCTATGATGATTCTTCTTCATAATGGTCTTCATTTTGTAAAACCAAATCATTTTCGGAGATTTCACTATTTGGAGCATACAAAGACATGCTGCAGTTCTAGCAAATAGAAAATGCATATAAGAACTTAAGATATAGGCATTATGCAATCCAAGTTAAAAATCTGAATTTCTGGCACTGAATCCGTGGCTAAGTGGCAATAAACTATAAATGTAGAATCTTTGTAATACTCATTAAAGAACAGAAACATGGCAAGGTAAGTGGAAAGTTGAGCACAAAGTTAGATATAAAGTTTCAGTTCCAATCAGCATTGCTAAGCCTAAGAAGGCCAAATTAACAAGCACTATATGTGTTTATCTATATCAACAGAATATTAATCATTTCCAAATGTCAAAGAGAAATATCAATAAAAATACATTCAAGGGGAAAAAAACTTTACCTTGCATCATATTAGGTCCTCTAAAGCATATCTCTCCCAGCTGATTTGGTGGAAGAGGCTTCATTGTTTCTACACTGATTATCTGTGCTTCAATTCCAGGAGCAAGAATCCCAGTTGAACCCGAAAAGCGAGTCCCTTCCCAGCTGTTCTCCGTCGAAATAATCCCACAACTCTCTGTCATACCGTATCCCTGCCACAACACAAAGGGACAAACCCCACTCAAAAATCATAATCAAAGTTTAAGGAAAATCCAAACTTATATGGCGTCCTAAACAGAGCACAAAAATGTAAGTGGCCCCATATGAGTACGATGAAAAGCCTAAAAGAGTGAACTCAACTTGACATGCATAATTGTCTTATAATACCCACTTGAATATCAAAATCAAAATTGAAAAAAAAAATCATGATTTTCTAAACAAAGTATTATTTTTCTGAATAAAAAAAGAGAATCATTGGTGTTATCACACCCCTCATCCTTTTTATGACTTTAAAAATTTTTAAGGTCTACTAATTAAACGAAAAAACCTAACTCAATTCTATTAAAAATAGACTCAGTTTTCACTATGTCATTACACATCCAACGCCGCACAACATATTGACCCGATTGGAGTCCTAAAATAGGGCTATAAAGTATCGAACCTAAGCGCGTCCTGGAATGAGAAGAAAAGATTGCATTCTTACCGCAATACCAACATTAGTACAAAAATTAAATTAACAGGTGTTTCACCTGCATAATCACAGGATTTGGGACCCAATTGAAATTAGTAAAGTTAAAAAAAAAAATCCCAACAACAACAAAATCAAAACTTTCAAGGTTTTTTCTTAAAAGAGAGGTGAAATGGCTGAGAGAATGAACAAACACAACTTTCACCTGCATGACCAAAGCATTCGGGACGTTCTTCGCGCAACCCTCCATCACGTCTTTCGCCAACGGCGATGCGCCGGACAAGATGTTCTTCAACGACGACAAGTCATATTTCCTTACGACGCCGATCTGCTTCGCCAGCGCAATCACAACCGGCGGAACAAGATACAGATGCGTCACTCTGTACTTCTCCACAGCCCTCAGAACCTTCTCGAGCTCAAACTTTGCCATGGAGACGAACGTGTTCCCTCGCCGGAGCTGCGAATACGCGATCACCGAAAGCCCGAAAATGTGAAACATCGGCACGAAGCAGAGGAAAACGTTATTCGGCTCTCCGTACCAGTCCTGATCGGCGGTTACCATCAACGACGTCGTAATGAAGTTCCGATGCGTCAGAATCACTCCCTTGCTCGTCCCCGTCGTGCCGGACGAGTACATCAGCGCCGCCACGTCAGACTGCGTGACGTCGCTCGCCGGCAAATTAGATAATCGGTCTGAAAACGCTGTAGTTTTGATCAAATCGGAGAAACTCCAGACTCTGGAGTTCGGAACAATTTCGGAAGATTTGGAGGAGTCTAGAATTATCGCCGGCAAGTTGAATTTAGCGGTTTTCTCGTACAGTTCGGGGACGGTGATGACGAGCTTGGGATTGCAGTCCTTGACTTGCTTCGAGAGCTCGAAGAAGGTGTAGGCGGGGTTACAGGTGGTGGTAATGGCGCCGAGAGCGGCGATCGCGAAGAAGCAGATGGGGTATCGGATCGAGTTCGCGGCGACGATGAGGACGACATCGCCTTTCTTGATTCCCATGGCGTTGCGCAGGGCGTGGGAGAGGTTGGACACTAGGGTTTTGAGCTCGAGAAAGGTCAGAGTCTCGCCGGAATCGTCGTCGATCAGAGCAGTGTTGTGAGGGAAAGAGGAGGAGGATTGGAAGAGGAAGGAGGTGAGGGAGTGGTGATGGTCGGAGGGGAAGTTCACCGGAGGCCGCGGAGATGTGTAGATCAGAGTTTGGGGATTGAAAGATCGCGCCATGGCTGGTTTGGGAAGGAAAATGAAAGCTTTGTTTTGTTTGTTTCTCGGGAAAGTGTTGTTTATGTTTTATGGGGAAAGAGAATGCATAGACGACGACGGAAACAGTTGGACGTTTCGCGCGCGCATTCAATGATATATATATTTTTCAATCATGAGTCACGTAAGTAGTTAACTGTTGTACTCGCGGCTTTATTTTTTAAATAGAATTTAACTGTAGTGTTTTTTTTTTTTTTTCCTTGAAGGGTGGTAATTTTATTTTTTTTTTAAAAGATTTACAGACTCGAACTAAAGTCACAAATGATCTCAAATTCAAGAGAAATCAACCCCGAACAAATATCCACTAAAAAATTGTTGAGACAAAAACAAGTACCGAGACTCAATGGAGAAAGTCTTATTCGGCACAAAAATACTTGAATAATGGACATCACCACCCACACCGTCAAAAATCAACTCGATTGGATGAGAAACAGAAACTAAACAAAAGGAAACTCGATCGCTGCCATCCTTAGAGACGAGACCATTCCTACTAAAGGAAAGCCAATCATTGCCAGGAAAGAGTCTCCGAAAGGACTCAGCCACCCAAAGTTGAAGGTTTAGAAAAATGCCTCCCAAATATGTGGTTTTCATCTTCCAAATGATGCTCAATCCGCCCTATCTAAGTCATCCCACGACACACTAACCACCATAAAAGAGCCCTCAACAAGACAAGCCTGGAGAATAATTTTTAGGGTTGGGAGTTCGGCGATGTGTCCGAAAGCAGTGCCGAAACTCCGGCCAACACTCAAACTTTTTTTCTCTCGTTTCCTCTATGTTTGAAAACTAGGTTTCTGCTAACCCGAGTGTTGAACAGTGGATGTATAGCAAAAAAAAAAAAAAAGTTTTTATAAATAATAAGAATTAATACTATTACAAGAATTATAAGTAATTTTATTGTATAAATGTAAATATCATAAAAATAATTGCTCTCTAATTTTTGTCGCTCTTAAAATATTTCAAAAAAAAAAAATTGTTATGTTTCAATTTCACTCTTAAAAATTTGCTACATAGTGTATTTTTTACATTTTTTGTAGAGAAAATTTTCAAGCGTGTCTATATCAAGCCCGATGTATCCTTTAGAGTGATGCGTTCTTTAGAGTGAGGCTCAATAGTGGGGCATTCAGTGAATATTTCTGTTAGTATTTGGGACTCCTTTGATGAATGCTAAAGGCAGCTGCCGCTTTTTAGATTTTTTTTTCTTGATAAAAAGAAAATTCACTAATATCACTCTACAAGCATACGTAATTAAAACTTTTATAAACTTAATATATGATAGATGTATTTTAAAGTTGCAATTTATAGTAAACTCTCCAAAATGTATGATAAGCTCACGAGAAAGATAGTGTCATGTTAAACTAGATGAGACAATTTGTTAAATTGAGACAATTCTATTTTTGAATAGCCAAATTTGAAATTATAGCTTCATTCACTTCGCGGATTCGAGTTTTCAATTCGAGCTGAGATGTGACATTTTTTTAGAGCTTTTCACTGTAGCAAAAAAAGTTTGATGTGACATTTTTTGAGAACTTCTGTAAAAATTTAAAACTGAAAACTCGAATCGGTGAAATGAACGAGGCCAAAAGCCTTATTCTTTTTTTTAAAACTCTCCAAAATTTATGATAAGCTCACGAGAAAGATAGTGTCATGTTAAACTAAATGAGACAATTTGTTAAATTGAGACAATTCTATTTTTGAATAGCCAAGTTTGAAATTATAAAGCCTTATTCTTTTTTTTTTTTTTTGAAAGGCCATAACATAACTTTTATTAAAAACTCACTAAAAGGTTAAGATGTATGATAAAATTAAAGTTAATAACCGAATACTACTTACATAATTAGACAATATAAATACACCTTTGATCTAATAACAGAGAGAGCTTCCTTAACCAGTGACACTATAGTTGACCACTTCAAAATTTCATTATTATTGGTAAAACAATCCCAATTTTTTGTTTTTTTTAATAAAAATTTCACTATTATCCGTTTCTAAGAATATCAACATGCATAGTACAAGAGGATCTAGCGAACAAATAATAAAAAAGAAGAAAAAAAAAATCAAGTGGGAATATTATTTGCATTGGGACAAAGCAAGGACAGCTACTACGTTGATGGTTGAATGTTGACCACATTTCGTTGACTTTGTCGTTCGGATATGGGATAGTCAGATATAGCCTGTTTCATTAGTGAGAAACTAATGCCATGTTTTGAATTGTTATTATTTTTATTTTTTACGTTTTTTAAAAAAAGAAAAAATAAAAATAATTTTTTAATTTAGTGTAAAAATAAGAGATAAATAAAAAATAATTTTTAGTTATTTTTTATTTTTTATTTTCGTTTTCTCCTCTCTCGAATAGAAGAGAAAGAGAGAGACATTAATGAGTTTTTTTATACTGAAAACAATCTCTTAATAAAATTATCAAACGCATTTTTAAAAATAATTTCTATCTAAGATTGAAAACGTTTTCATTTTCATTTTCATATAAAAAATAAAATCATTTTGGAACGAGTTCCAAACGCACCATAAATTTTCCCTTAAACTCAAGTTCTTAAACTCAAACTCAAGTTAATAAATAATATTTTTTATATTGTTAAAAACGCTATAATTTTTTTGTTTTAATTTCGATTGAGTTGTTTTTTTTTTTTTTCTATACTTTCATAACGAAGAGATGAATAAAACCCTACCCATATACCCTATTAAAAATTTTCATCACCATTGAGTTTTTATTAAAATACTATATAAATACAAATTCAAGTTTTGACGAACTCAAATAGATTCTCAATTCAAACCATAACTCAAAATGTGCACATCTAAATACAAACTCAAATTAGAGTCTCAACTCAAATCATACTCAAATACATCTTAATTCAAATCAAGATCTGAACTCAAATCATCTTAACTCAAAAAATACAAATGAACAAGCCCTAACAAGATTTGTGTAATGTGGCTGGCTTCTTTGATTGATGATGGGGAAGAGTTGGTTAAAGGGAATGAATAACAAATTGACAATAGACCGGTTATTCCGCACATTTTAGGCACAAAGGGTCAAATTTGGAAGTATTTGAAAATCTTAGAAAGGCTAGTCCAGAACAATCAAATAATTTAGGTCTCGTTCACTTCGCAGATTCGAGTTTTCAATTCAAAACTCGAATCGGTGAAATGAATGAGGCCTTAATTATTGCTTGAAGCAGATCACCTTGGAAACACGTTCATATCATATCACATACACGAGAATGATCATCAGTGAGGAACGTGAAGGAGACTTCTGATGATGTCGTTTCTTAACGAGAAGTCATTTTTATTGTATATTGACGTTCTCAATGTTCTCGTTTTCAAGAACGTCGTGCTCATCTCAAACTGTTATTGTTATTAATATTTACGGTCAAATGTGGTGGTTTTTAATAACAAGTCAATTTATCATTTATTTGGGAATTTCGTCTCTTAGCACGATGCTGTCGTTTTCAATGATCTCGTCGTGTAATAAGATTTCGTTAATAAAACATAATGGCTTGTTTGGAGTTAGTTTTATTTTTATTTTTCATGTTTTTAGATAAATAAAAAATAAAAACAGGAGAGAAACAGTATTTAACACAATTAAAGATAAAAACATAAATAAAAATGAAATTTTGATTTAGTGTAAAATATAAGAGAAATGAAAAATGACTTTTAATTATTTTTCATTTTTTATTTCTGTTTTCTCCTTTCTCGAGCACAGAGAGAGAAAGAGACACTAATAAATTTTTTTATATTAAAAACAATCTCTTGATAAAATTACCAAACGTATTTTTAAAAATGATTTATGTTTGAGATTGAAAACATTTTCATTTTCATTTTCATACAAAAAAATAAAATTATTTTAGAACGAGTTCCAAACGCACCTAATGTTTTTCAGCTAAAGTATCATCGTTTCTCAATTCATGTCGTTTATAAATCAATATGCCTAATGAGTATTTATTTGTTTTCAGAAGGGCAATGAGTGTTAATTATTATTATTACTACTACTACTAAAAGACTGTTGCAATTGCTAATTATTACTAAGAAAAACTGTTGCAATTGCTAATTATTACTAAGAAAATTCTCTGGTACGTTGGCATATCGATAGGCTAGATTTATCTAACCGTTAAATTTGTATACTTTTTAATGTAACATAATTTTATATAAATTTGACGAATAAAAAACTTAATATGTTAACGTAGTGAAGAAACTCCCTTATTACTATGGTTACTGTGTTTTTTTTTTTGTTTGAATGTATTACTATGGTTACTGTTATCTGCCAACCATACTGGAAACCATAACACATCCTAGAAACAAACGAAAGTCATTGTCTTTATCCACCCGAAGAAAAAAAAAAAACGAAAATAATTGTAAAATAGTACAGAAAGGGCAGAATAACGACTGCCCGGAAAAATTGAGAGTAAGTTGAAAATGCTTACAAAATTGTAGATCTTAACGAGAGAAAAGGCTATAGAAGTAACAAAAGAAAAGTCAGTCTTTCCAAAAGAAAACAGAAAAAACACAAAACGAAAAACGAAAAACAAAACCAAAGAGAAGTCAGCGCGGCCAGAAAAGAACAATCAAAATTTGGCAGAGCCACAGCCGGTAAAGAAATGTGCAGTGATTTGAGTTCAGCAAACCTGAAAGCTTCCAAAGGTGTTAATGGAAACATAAATATGCAGCAAATAAAAAATTTGGCAGTGTAGACTGTTTTAGACTTAAGATTCAGATATTAAACTCTTCAACTCCTGTCGAACTGTTGGAATCTTCTCCGCTTCCACAACCATGACTAACCCCATTAGCCGGTAGTTCCTTAACTGCAAAGCGACAAATACACAAGGATCGTTGTCTGTCAGCACTATTTCATCAAGGATAACATTGTTGAAGTGAACCAGTTATTGCATTCTAATAAACCTTGAACTCCATGTTCGCAAACAAAGAGAGAAATTTATGCCCCAATTAGTTCGCTGGTTCAAATTGTGATGATTAGAACTGTGTGGTTTAAATTGCAATCCGAATTGGCATTCAGATGTGCAGTTTAAATCCTTACCTTTTATCCAAATTCCCCTACTATAAGAATCAATTATTGTGGATGAATGTAGAGCATTGTAAATGATTTTTTACCAAATAAACATTCTGTCATTTTTCACATTCGTTTCTTCTCTTACCCGTCATCACTCATCACTAACCAAGTAAATAATAGAAAACACATTTTAGAATCGTAATATCTTACTTGTCACACTACTACTTATGACAATGAATCATATGATAAAACGGTAACTATACCAACCTCATGAGGTGGAACAGGCTGAGTTTGCAAAGGAAAAGATACGGACCACAAGCTGAGCTGAAATGCATTAAAAAATCAGTACGTACATGAAACAGAAATTTAACCCAGAATTAATTTAGAAAGAATAATTCAAGACCTTGTGGAAGATTTCATCTTCTGGCTTTACATATATTGTTTCCTCATCACCTGAGGTCTTACTGTTCTGCCTCCTTTTCTGGCTTGTACTCTTTAGCTGCGGTTTTGCTCCAGAAACAAATAAATAAATAACAATAGCAGAGAGCGAAAAACAACGAAGAACAGATTTCAAAAGCTAATTAAAATGTGCAGAGGATGTTGAGGTGGCATACCTCGTAAAATTTTGTGATTACTAAATAGAACTTAAAGCAGAATGATTTTCTAAGCTCCTCTGTAGGCTTCAAACAAGAAACAAAAATAGAAATGCCGTTAGAGGAAGTTTTTAGTTGCTCCCCGTCAGCGGCAAGAACAGAAATCATAGCAAAAATCCCATTTCTCATCTTACCTCATCTTCTGTAGCCCAGGAGACTTCATCGAAAAGAGCATCATAAAGAGGCGGCAAGAGCTGGGGCGGGAGATTACTCACACGCTGAGAGACCAAGAGACCAACATTACGCGCTTCCTCACCCAAAAGTGATTTCAAATCATCTCTCATGTTCTTTTCCTGGCATACTCTACGAAGAAACTCCTTGATTTCCACAATACATTTATGGTCCTAGCACAAACCAAATTCATAGCTTTCAATAGCTAGAAGACTGGTATAATATGAAGAATGTGAATTTAAGAATATTAAAATCACAAGTTTTATGCTTTAAGATGCAACTAGAACAAAGACGGATTGGGATTAGAAGTGCAAATACTTACCTTATATCTGTACAAGTTAAGGGCACTAACAACAGAGAAAATCCCATTATCTTCGTCATCTGCAACTTTAACAACAGTCCCCACTGTTGGCTGTCCCAAGATCAAGTCGGCAAAACCACTCAAATCCCATTCTTTAACATCAAGATAAGTCTGAAGCAACGTCTTCACTCCATGGAAATCGTCAGGTTTTGGATCAAAGAACTCAAAATCGGCTTGGATAACTCCCTTCAAAACAAAATCTATATTAGGTTCTGAAGGAAGAAAGCATATATATTAAAAAAATGACATCAATAAAAAGATACAACTAGTAGATTTTCTTATACATCAAACTCTTCGTCATCTGAAGGCTCAATCTCATCACTTTCAGATTCCACATTGTTATCCACCGATTCTTTACCTAGAAACGAAGAGAAAACATTGGCAACTGCTTCAAACGGTTATAAAAGATAACAGATTTTTTTTTTTTTTTAAAAAAAACGTACTATAATACCTGCAGAACTGGATGGAACGTTGCTTTTATGGATGAGAGATCCGTTCTTTTGATGGTTACCCATGGAAATAAAGCCAACTTGAGCAATTGACCGAGAAAACGGCGAAAAGGTCAGAGGATGATGCTTCACCAATTGGCTGCGCCTTAAAGGCCTCCGAGGCATCTAATTAATAACTGGCGATCCAGAATGTGCAAAGTTTGAAACTTTGAGGTCACGTCAATAAAAAAAATGATAGAATTAAACGTAAAACTAAAATAAAAATAAAAATAATGCCATTTCCAGGATATAAAACCATGATATTATCCGGGGTTTACATTGAGGCAAAATCTTATTTTCCATGACATTCCACTGAAATTCATATTTGTTTCTGCAAACTTCAAAAACCAAAGGAACAACAATATGACATTATAACATCGAATCAATAGCATGACACACCTTAACAACATCAACAACTAACACTACAAAGTAAAATCGTTTCAAAAAAATTCAAATTCCAATTAATCCAAAATTTATGCCCCAAAAGAACAAATTATGACCGCAGTTTCTTCCAGACTTTTTTATCAAACAAAACACGCTTTGAACATTGGTGTCATACACACAGTTCATCAAAAACCATAGAAACACATTTATGCACACAATTGAAGCTAAACCCTAAAATCAGAACCAAAACAAAACGTTAACTTCAGGTTTATCCTCACAACGAAATATCACAATTCAAGTGTGTGATATATATATATATAGAGAGAGAGAGAGAGAGAGAAAGAGAGAGAATTTCTTACAGGAAGAGAAATAGTGAGTCGAAAAACCAGCTACACAGCACCTAAGCAGAAAGATTACACGAAGGAGAAATCCAATTAAAACAAAAACAGAAGAAAAAACAACAAGGAGCTAAAATCAACCATTAGAAAAACTACGATCAGAAACCAAATTTCCCAAATCGGTTACCAATTCTAAAACTCAAAGATTGATTTTTTACTTCCAAGTTTCAATTTTTCTTCTACTAATTCCTCCAAGAAGCTATCACAGCTAGTGGAAAGTTTTAGAGAGAGGGGAGAGAAAGGGTTTTGTCTTACTTCGACGGAAACGGCGACGGCGACGGCGACGGCGCGGGCAGAGTGGAGACCAGGCGCTTGGCGGAGTGGAAGAGTATGGGTTTAAGCCTTTGGGGTTTCTCTGTCTTTCTTTCCGAGTAATTTTCACCGATGGCCCTAAATTTTAATTTATTTTCAATTTAGACTCTCAACTTTTGCTTTTAATATTTGAGACTCTAAATTTGAAAATATTTGACGATGTAGTTCAATCCTGAAATACTAAAAGTAAATTTTTTTTTTTTTAAAAAAAAAAAAAACGTATGCTACCAATCAAGAAAAGGCTTCGGGTGCATTTTATATAAAATTGTAGATATTTCGTCTAATAATTGACATAGGTTAAAGTGGCACGATTCGCTTTATAAAATGCGAGTGAAGCGAAAAATTTAATTAAAATATTCGGTTTGTTTATCTTTGATTATGGTTACAATTTAAACTCGTTATACCTTATTTATCTATACTCTAATATTTTGCACACCCACAATATTCGTATGTGCAGAATTCACTAATCTAGCACAATTTGCTTTTAAAAAACAAGTGAAACGATATTGGACTATAATTAATATAAATGTTCAAAAGTCATATCCTTTTTAAATATAGTATATAAATTTTTATAATATAAAAATTTTGACACAAAACGGTGATAAAACAGATAAAATTGAACTCTATATCAATTCAAAATACTAAATAACTATAATAAGAATAAAAATTTTAAAAATAAACCGAAAATGGTTTGAAACTGTTTGATAAAAAATTTCGACAGCTGTGATTCGCACGTGAAATGCACGTGCAAGAGAAGTGCGTTCAACAGGGGGAAGAGGGCAGCTTCGCAGTGGTGGGCCCCGCCACTTTTTCCTTCGGCCAGTCGGGCATCAGCATGTGACAATCCTAGAACGAAAGACACAAAAGCCCATGCACATGGAAGGGAAAAGAGAAGGAAAAGAAGGGTAAAATTGACAATTCACACTCAAAGGATAAGAGACAGAAGCAAAATTTTAGAAATGTCACTGCACAATGATACTAAATTGTGAGTGTGTGAACAATGTACATTTCTTTTCCTTTAGTATACGTATTTTTATTTAATTTTAATATATTATTCATGGTATTTTTATCTAAGTAATATAAAAAATTTAGCACAAAACAGTGGTAAAACGGATAAAATTGAACTCTAAATCAATTTAAAATAGTAAATAATTATAATAAAGAATAAAAATTTACAAAATAAACCGTAAATGGTTTAAAACCGTCTGATCAAAAATTTCGACGGTTGTGATTCGCGTGTTCAGCGGGGAAAGAGAGCAGTTTCGCAGTGGTGGGCCCCGGCACTTTTTCCTTCAGTCAGCCAGGCGTCGACACGTAACAATCCTAGATCAAAAAACACAAAAGCTCATACACAAGGAAGGGAAAAAAAAAAGGAAAAAAGGTTAAAATTGATAATTCACACTCGAAAGACAATGGATATAAACAGAATTTCATAAATGTTATTGTACAATAACCAATAAAATATGAGCGTGTGAATAGTAAATATTGGGTTTTAGTATATATTGCCTCGTTCACTTTGCGGATTCAAATTTTTAATTCGAGCTGAGATGTAACATTTTCTGAGAGCATTTTACTGTAGCAGAAAAAGTTGATGTGACATCTTCTGAGAGCTTTTTACTGTAGAAACTTAAAACTGAAAACTCGAATCGGTGAAATAAATGAGACCATAATAATTTGGAAACATGTGTGCATAAGAAGATTTGTACTTTTCTCAGAAGAACTATTGCTTTAGAACGGTCGTGAATCGAAGACTTTTTTCTAAATTATAAATATGATAAATATGAAAGTTTGTGTGACTTGTTAACATAAAGTCATAAATTGTATAAGTTAAAAAACTTTAAGAAATAAGAAAGTAGTTGTTGTTGTACTTTTCCCGGAAGAACTATTGCTTTAGAACGGTCGTGAATCGAAGATTTTTTTCTAAATTATAAATATGATAAATATGAAAGTTTGTGTGACTTGTTAACATAAAGTCATAAATTGTATAAGTTAAAAAACTTTAAGAAATAAGAAAGTAGTTGTTGTTGTACTTTTCCCGGAAGAACTATTGCTTTAGAACGGTCGTGAATCGAAGATTTTTTTCTAAATTATAAATATGATAAATATGAAAGTTTGTGTGACTTGTTAACATAAAGTCATAAATTGTATAAGTTAAAAAACTTTAAGAAATAAGAAAGTAGTTGTTGTTGTACTTTTCCCGGAAGAACTATTGTTTTACTGTTATTATTATTATTATTATTATTACTGTTATTACTGTTATGTCACTAATTTGCAAATGTCCATGAAACTTGAAACTTTTTCAATCAGATTTAGTTATGAATCCTGCATTGTATGTCAGCTATCATGCACTTGAATCATGAATTATGACTAGCCAAGAATATGGGTAAATTACACAAATGGTCTTTAAACTTTTTAAAATGTGACAGTTTAGTCTTTAAATTTTTTTTTAATGAAATGAATCCTAAATTATTTAAAATGGTACAATGTAGTCCTTTCCGTCAAATTCTGTCTAAAAAATAATGGCACAGTGCACATGAGATATCACGTGGCCCATATTTTGGTTGGAAAGACGAAAATGTCCTTAATTACTGTTATCACGCGGCTTCTTCGGACGACGACCGCCATTGTTTCCACCAACAAACCCGGCCGCTTCGCTGGCGAGTCCTTCTGCAGCCACTTTGCTGGCATCAATGTCGCCTTTTGGTCCTTCAACCTCCTATGTCAAAACCACATCTGCACAGATCTCCTCCATTGTCATCGGACCTCGGTTGGAGTTGGAGGCGATTTTGCAGAGATTAACAGCAAGAAAGCATTCTAAAAGAGAGAGAGCGAGAGAGAGACAGAGAAAAAGAGAGATCTAGGACTGAGAGAGAAAAAACAGATCGGCTGACGACAGTCGCTCTTGACGGCACCAGAGAAGACGAGCGCTCGATTTTGCGATCATCGGCAATGTTCCCAGAGATCATGGCAATCTCCTCTGCTGGATCTGGTTAGAGGTCTAACCGGAGAGAGTGTAGACGATCGGCGACGGCGACTTCATTGCCAAAGTTAAAGCCGAAGTTCTTCAGTGTTGATTGCGGCCCTCTGGTGATGTTCGTTGAGAAAATGTTCAAGGATAAAACTCAAGCAGATCGTGCAGGACACCGTCACCAACAAGCAGATCGCGAGCCCAAGATTTGGTTCACGTCAGCAAACTGGTTCACAACAACAATGATTGTCGGAGAGATCTGAAAATAACCTGCATATTGTCACAAACCCAGACAATCCAAAATCGCAATAAAAAGATTAAAATGAATAATGTCATCCACGTCTGAAGTTGTTGCGATGTTAGAGTTTGTAGAGATCAATGGTGATGAGAGAGAGAGAGAGAGAGAGAGAGAGAGAGCTAGGCTTGATATTTTACTAAAATATCCCCTTTAACAAGATCAAATGCCTTGCACATGATTAATTATGTTTAAAATGTAACGGAATTTGATGGAAAAGATTACATTGCACCATTTTAAATAGTTTAGGATTCGTTTCGTCAAAAAAAAAATTTAGGATTAAACTGTCACATTTTAGAAAGTTTGGAGACTATTCGTGCAATTTACTCCAAGAAGATTGTGAATGCGCATGCTCTTGTCTAGTTGTTAGAGAAGTCTCTACTTCATTTTTTGACCTGCCAAAATTTGTATTCACGTTCATCAGGATCTATCTGCAGAAGCAATATTTAAGGATACCAAAGAAGCTTACGGCTTGCCATTATCACTGAGAAACCTTAATTGGGCAGCTTTATTAAGAATCTTAAAACGAAACAAGGGAGAAAAAGAAGAACCAACTTTCTAATCCTTTTATTTTCTCTTGTTCTGGCAATATTAAGTTGCCAATGCCATAACTTTGGACCTCAAAATTATAAAATGCAATTTTGCCAGTTGATATCCCTAAAGTGAGACAATTGAAACGATAAAACTTGCATAATATACACATTAGGAGATGTTTGGTTTATTGATTAGAACCATGTGATTAGAACTATTTTCGATTTACGTGTATTTTTTATGAGAGAAAATACTGTAGCGAATCACGAACTATGATTCGAATCAGGAAACGAATTTAAGTACCAAATATTGCTGTCATATGTTGTCTATAGTATTACATTCCTAAACAATACGACTTCTTCAAAATATAAGAAAATTGACAGTAAACTACGTTCTACTTCATCTATAAGATACTATACCCAATATAATAACTTCTGTAAGGATATATATAGAAGCATATCTAAAACAGTCAATTGATATTAGACAAACGATTCGGGAGATAAGATTGAATCGATTGCCCCCTTTCCCCTGTTCTGTTTCTTGGATCTTCTATGAACTTCTCCCCTTTGAATATGGCGCTCACTTTTATCAATTGACATGGACAGAGCTGGAGCAGAGACAAAAACCATAGCAGATTCTTGAAGAGGACGAAATTTCTGAAATTTCTAAAAACCTTTCCAATCGACCCACCGGTTGCGTTAAATATACGAAAACTAACATGAAATCAGCCTATGAATTTACGACACGCCGCAACTTCGCCTCTCCTTCCGAACTATGCACTCACCAGTCACCATTATGCTTAGTCAACCAAAACCCCGCCAGAAATTCAAATGCAGACCCACAGAAAAATTCGCCTCTAGTACGATTAATCACATTAAGCATGCAGTGATTCAAACGTTTCTACGCAGAGGTCGGAACCCAATAATGAGAAAACCCTCAAAACTTTTCAGACTTGGAAACATAAAACCGAGCTTATTTAGCTCGCTGATTCGAGTTGACATGTAATTTAATATGAGAATTATTTACTGTACTAAAAAAGTTAGATGTTGGTCTCGTTCACTTCTGGGATTCGAGTTTTTAATTCGAATTGAGATGTGACATTTTTTTAGAATTTTTTACTGTAGCAGAAAAAGTTAGATGTGACATTTTCTGAGATTTTTACCGTAGAAACTTAAAACTGAAAACTCGAATCGGTAAAATGAACGAGGCCGTGATTGTTTATGAGAGTTTTTTACTGTAACAAAACTCAAATCGATAAAATGAACGGAGCCTTAGTACATCAGCGAAACGACAAACATTTTATTTCAGATTTTTTAAGAGTTTTTTAATAATAATTTATTTGGCCTATAAATTTAAGCATTATTCAATTCGTTGATTCGAGTTTTCAATTTGAGTTGAGATATGATTTTATAAAAAAAATGTAACTATAATAAAAAATTAAATGTTATTTTTTATGAAATTTTTTAACTATAAAAAAATTAAAATTAAAAATTTAAATCTAGGAAATGAAATGAACATCGGCTTAAATTAGCCCTTTCATCCACTATTAAAAAGAAAAAATAAAACCCTTTTTATCTGAGCCGTTCAAAGGTCACCTTTAGAGGTGCTGACCGGTCATATATAATTTCATGTGCTGACGGGGAGACTATTCCTAAAAGATAAATAAATAAATCTCTTTGTAAATCCACGTGGCCATTTTTTCATACATGTGGCGTCAAACTCCTTCCCTTTCCCTTTCCTCAATTTTCCCTCCCTTCTCTTTCCCATCCTTGTGGCTTTCCTCTAAAATTTTCTTCCCTCAATTTGGCTGTTTTCCTTCACTTTCTCTCTCTTTTCTGCAATTCCTTTCTTTCTCTCTCTTCTTCTTGCGACAACAATGGCGGAATCTTCCGCTACTCTCTGCTTCTCGGCCTTTTTCTCTTCCTCCCCATTTTTCTCTCTCTCCAAGGAATTCTCTCTCTGTCCTCCTTCTCTCTCCTGTTTTTCTCCCAATAGATCTTCCGCTTCTCGTCCCCAATTTTCTCGTCCTCTGCGATTCTCGCCCAAGGCTTCCTCCGATTCCGGCAACTTTTTCACCGACGATTCCTCCGGTTTATTTCCATGGTCCGACGGTGACTCCGGTAACTTCTTAATTTCTCTCTCTTTATTCCTAAAAGATTGTGTATATATATATACACACACAATTATTGATATTATTGATTTGATCTTTAATATGGAACCAATTGGCGGTTAGATCAAAGTCTAAATCTTTCTATATTTGTTGAGTTTGGATTATGGGAAATTATATGCAGCTTAATCCAACAGTACATATTGGATAATTTCATATTTTCATGAAGATTTAAGTGTGAAATGAATCGTTCAATTTCTGGAAATTGCATATGTGAGCCGTTAAAGTGGAAGCTTTTGAAATAGGGAACTTGGTTGCTAATAAATTATATGAAATGAGGCCTATGTTTTAAGTGGTTACGTTCTGCTTGTCAGATCAAGTTGCTATTTGTACAGGAGAAAATTATTATTGCTCAAATATTCTTTATTTACATATGTTTTTGCTGAAGATACAATTAGCTTTCAGCTTGAACATTGAATCTTGGATTTCGTGTTCTTCTTTAGATCTACAAGATTCGGGAATTTAATGAACATTTTCAATTCAAAATGCAGTCTTTTAGTTTAAGCTTTTATGTTTTCCGCTTTCAAGTGGGAAGCCAACAATTAGTTTGTAGCTCAGTGGTTCTATGGCATGAAAAACTAATGAACGAAAGTGTCATATGGGCTGAGATTCTCTCGTTTTTTTTTCCCCCTAGTTTAGAAAATTTGTCTCAAAGAAAATGATGACATATGTACTAATGTTTTCTCAGAAATTCAGTGGGTTCCCGATGGGAAAGTCACATTTTTCACTTCTGATGGGCTCATTCAGATCGGAGGCTCCATGGTCCCTAAACGCGTCTCTTCTTCAGATGTATGTGACCTTTATATTTAATGGAACTTGCCATTTTGCATTCTTTTTCGACACATGGTTTTGCTTTTTATCTTTTTTCATTGAGATTTTATTGATGCGAAAACATCAAAGCATCTTGCTAGATATGGTCATCGTTTTTTGGTATTTATATGTGTACAACTTCTTCACACATGCTCACAATCTCTCTGTTACATTAAAAATTGTATTTCACTATTTTGCGTTGTTAAAGGGACACAGTGGCATGGAGCTAATAGCTATGGCCCATGATGCACATATCTCCTCTCTGTTTTTGACATCCAGTCTCAGTATTAAATTTGAAATTTACTTGCCAGAAGCAAGCGAGATCAAAGACAGTTCCAAGATTCCAGCGTTTTCAAGAGGGTGATTACATGGATCCAAAGCAGGGCCTTTGTTTAGGTGCTCTCTTTGATATTGCAGCAACAAATGTAAGGATATTTTCATAATTAAATTAAGTCACTGTTGATTTTTTTTTCCCTACCTATGCATATCTAATTCTGAATACGTCAACTTAGGGACTTGATATGGGGAGAAGACTCTGCATCTTTGGATTTTGCCGTTCCATCGAGATGCTGAGTGACGTTGTGGAAGACACTGTCTTGGAGCATGGTGGGGAGGTATGTTAGGTTGCACGGGTCATAGAAATTGAAAGGCAAATATATTTTCATATCCTTGATGATTGTTGTAGACTTCATATATGCACTATCTTTATAATTTGTGCTTTTTGGTTCCATCCCTCTTAGTAGCCTTAGAATCAAAACGAAAGAAGTTTTAGCAAGGTGTTTTGGAGTGAATAGTTGTAAGTAGAAGAAGAGCCGGCCTTTGGACGGTTCTTGTGAATGAGAATGGGGAGCTTAAAGAACTGGTTTTGTCACATCTTGCATCAGCATAATTTCCAGTACTTGTTAAATAAAGGCTCTCTTAAAGGTATTTTTCTTCTATTTGTAGGTTGTTTCTGCGGAGAAGGCCGTCAAAGGCGGTTTACATGAAAAACTAACGATGACCGTTGCAGTGCCATTACTTTGGGGGGTTCCTCCTGCTTCCGAAACACTTCACCTTGCTGTTCAGAGCGGCGGCGGAATTGTAGACAAGGTTTATTGGCAGTGGGATTTCTTGTAAATAAACGATTACTCATACATTACACTAACCATTATTTGTGCATTCTGTACATAAAATTGTTACTTTCCTATGTACAAAACCTAATCAATACTCTCCTGTGTACAAAACCCAATTGTTGTATTCAATCTCAATGAACTCTTGATTCCCATATCTTCTTTTTTTCTCATATTTTTCGGTTTCTGTCCACAGAGCCGTATTAGAACTGCATTTTGTCGTGGCTTCTTCATTATCTAAAGCCAATTCAGAGACGCAATCTTGTTACATCCTAGAAAGATGTCTTGAATATCTCCACAACTCAAACTTTTTTACGTAAGAGAAAACACTAAAGTGTAGAGAAAACACCGTAATAAAAAAATTTTGAATTCTGATTTTAGTTATGAAAAAGATCGAGGCGGTCCCAGTCTGAGCTAAAGTGTGCTATAAGTTTTGCAAGCTGTCTATCCGAGTGATACGGTTTGGAGATATAGAATAAGTAAAAGCGATGTCACGAAGCCAAAACTATAGTGTAAAGTCTTTATCAGCCACTAGTTCCTTAATTGCTTGTGTACCGTATGTTCTGTCTGGTAAAGCGAGCGAAAAAGGAAAAACAATAGGGGGGAAAAGAAGTACTGCCAGTTCTGTGTAAAAGGAATTCCAAAACTACGAGCTCCCGAAAAAAAAAAAAATCATGTTTTTCATCAAGACACGTAACTATTAACTAAGTTAGGCACATACACCCTACTTTGCAACTATGTATGTACAACTCATTTTCCTTTGCTTGAAGAAAAAGTTTGGGAGAGACTACTAGTGTTAGCATATCCTCCACGGGCATTATTTAAAAGGGTCTTCAGATGTTAACAGGAATGTTCGTTGAAGGGCGTACCCCTCAGACAAGAAATGTGTCAGTCAGCCTTACTAAGTGTGCTAACAATAAGGATAATATGAGTATGTGGAGGTATGGTCCCAGACACTCTAAATCGAGTACTAAGTTGACAGGAAACAAACCTTCACATTTAATACACTTAGGGTAACTTAACACTCGAAGATGTAACACAAGCTCTCCACAATACACCATTCGTGCTCGGCATATCCTCTACGGGCATTATTTAAAGGGGCCTTCAGATGTTAACATGAATGTTCGTTGAAGGCCGTACCCCTCAAACAAGAAACGTGTCATCCAGCCCTATTAAGTGTGCTAACAATAAGGATAATATGAGTATGTGAGGGTGTGGTCCCAAACACTCTAAATCGAATACTAAGTTAACAGGAAACAAGCATTCACATTTAATACACTTAGGGTAACTTAACACTCAAATGTAACACAAACTCTCCACAATACACCATTCGTGCTCGGCATATCCTCTATGGGCATTATTTAAAGGGGCTTTCAGATGTTAACATGAATGTTCATTGAAGGCCATACCCCTCGAGGGACAAGAAACGTGTCATCCAGCCCTATTAAGTGCGCTAACAATAAGGATAATATGAGTATGTGAGGGTGTGGTCCCAGACACTCTAAATCGAATACTAAGTTGACAGGAAACAAGCATTCACATTTAATGCACTTAGGGTAACTTAACACTCGGAGATGTAACACAAACTCTCCACAATACACCATTCGTGCTCGGCATATCCTCTACGGGCATTATTTAAAGGGGCCTTCAGATGTTAACATGAATGTTCGTTTTGAAGGCCGTACCCCCCGGACAAGAAACGTGTCATCCATCCCTACTAAGTGTGCTAACAATAAGGATAATATGAGTTTGTGAGGGTGTAGTCCCAGACACTCTAAATCGAGTACTAAGTTGACAGGAAACAAGCCTTCACATTTAATACACTTAAGGTAACTTAACACTCAAAGGTGTAACACAAGCTCTCCACAATACACCATTCGTGCTCGGCGGTAACAGTCAGTGGTGTATGTGCAACTCATATCTTGATTATAGAATGAAGCTTAAATACGGCTGAGAATTCTAGTGTTAGGATATTTAAAATAATAAAAAAAAAAAGAGATGTTTGAGCCTATGTGTTTTGTTTTGAACGGCTATACTATCTTATTGTTATGTGATTTTCACTAGATTTAAGATTAAAAAATGTGAACTGCCAATAGAGATACTCTATCGTAAAAAGCTCCAAAGCTGATATCATTTTCAACTTTTATCAAGTGGGGTAGCGGTCCAGCAGATTACTTATTTTCAACAGATTGTTTTCTTCATCATCCAATAATGGATGACTGAAACTTAAGATGTATGTACATCTCAAAATTTTACAATGTATTGCAGTTCTGCAAGAAACTTTCTACTTTGACAAATAGATGACAGATAACTAAAAAAGGAAGAATATCCACCATGCAAGAGAAACTCAAAGGGAAATCATGATATAATTTTGACGTAGGTGAGACGTTTATTTCAAAAGTTCTACTTGGGTTAAGATCATGGTTCGTAGTTCTATTATAGTGTTTTTTTCTCATAAAAAATTTAATTTTAAAAATTAAAATCATGAACCATGATTTTAAACTCATAAAACAAACGTCGTAGTTTTTTGTGAGAATTCTCTTAGCGGTTGGAAAAAGGTAGGCCAAGATTTTTTTTGAAAAAAAAAAGAGATTTGATGGAACGTTTATCTTAATGCCTTTTACAAAGGAAGAGGTGACTTTATATATAAAACCTTATATTAGAACTTTAATGATACAATGAAAAGAAAGATCCCACTTTAATTAATGCTCCACACTATATTATATAGAGATTTAGTTTCCAACTTTTTCCCTTAATCAGGAAACAGTATCTAAATGTGAACTTAGGATTTTGACATTGAAACCCATCTTTGAGACATGAGAGAGAAAAAAATTGCAAGTCATCCTTGACTTCCCTCCTAAATGAACAACCATCGTGTTACATTAATAGTCATGTCAAGCTTAATATCCAAAAAAAAAAAAAAAAAAAAAGGTCATGTCCAGCTTAAATGAGCTTTGACAAAACATGCTCCTTGATATAATTGCAATTTTGGCCTTATAATTTCTCAGCCTTTTGACAAAACAATAACATAGTTTTGGATTCTTCGTCCTCATACTAATGGTGCACATTTTTTACGGTTAAATTTAATTAAAATTACATATTTAATTTTTGATACATATTTTACGGTTGAAAAAATAGACCTACCGTTAGTTTATTTCAAATGATCCTACCGTAAAAATCTCCCACACTTTTAGAGGTCAATTCTTGTTTTCTATGCATGGTGACAACCTTGAATCCTTCTTCAAAACATTGGGCTCCAAAGTGAATAGTCTTCGGAATATACAATAAACTATAAAGGCTCTAGAGAACATATCTCCTTCATTAAAAAATATGCATCAAGTGTATATGTCTTCATAGGTTTCTTCTTTATTTTTTTCTTTTTCTTTTTTTGAGAATAAGATATAAAGCAAGATTCAAAATAGATCGATTCAAGTGATGTTAATAAAGGATCATTGACCGTCAAAAATATCTTGCAATTCCCAGTGCTCAAAAGATTATTGATATTTTTCATTATCAATTGAATTTCGATTTATTGGCCCCACATTGAATCTCAAAGATTGAGAAAAATTTGGATAAATATTAATTTTTGGATAGAGATTGGATGAATGTCAATTGTAAGTTGTGAGAATTGATCAAGGCAAACTTGTCCTCAGAAAGGTTGTATGAACCACAAGACTTGAAAAAGTCTCAAAATTAAGATAACCCATCCAAGCAAAACACTCAAAAGGCCATTTCTTTCTTTGATTTATTAAAATGCTCATCTTTACATGCATAGCATAAAACAATTGCATTTTTGTGGAAACTGTGAGCAAAGGAAAAAAGTTTCTTGAAAACTTCATGAGTTAGTAGGTGACACCTTTTGACCATTTTCACTCCACCATAAAAGACATTCCTAGAAAACTTTTTCCCTATAGAGATGACAGCTTTAATGACATTTTATACTTTTTTTAATCTGAACTACAAAATGCCTATAGCTGGAAAAAGCCCCGATAGTCTTCTCTACTTGGAGAAGCAAACAAAAATGGTGAAGAGGTCAATGCATTAATCTTCAACATTGTTTATATATATATATATATAGATATATATATATTTTTTTTTATTTTCCTTTCCTTTTTGGTGAAAGTAAGACTATCATAAAAGAAAACGAATTTTATGTTTTTAAAAATTTAAAATTTTTAATAGGATATAAAAAAAAAAATTATCTGCTCACAACGCATTATTTTGAAGGAGATTTTTACTGTAAAATCTGGATAATGAACTACTAAAAAGTTGTATATCTTTTTTACTTTGATGTAATTTTAACCGGATTCAGCGGCCTACTTACCCCATTTTGAAATGTTGAATCGTTATAATATTAATTTTGTATACTTTTATAAAACAAACCCCATCTACCAATGATGCACTGAAGGCATCATTATCCTTAGATCATGCAATTTTGGAGCCTTTTTGGACTGCTTCCCCGTGAGGATTTCTCCATCACTGCCATTATAAATGCCTTTAATCTTTGCTTTTTAAAAAAAATTATATGTTACCAAGTTGTGATTTGTTTATCATTAAATCCTTTTCCCAGTCAAGCACTCTGGTCCCTCCATACCGCACACGTCCTAATTAAGGTTTTGTCAATTATTGAGACCTGGCTCACATGATATCACACTGATCAAATCAAATCAAAACCATTAAAAATAGTAGTACTCAAGGACAATATGTTGCTTAATTACAAGCTAAATTTTTTTGACAATTTCTTGTCTCTAAGTAAAGTGTTTTTAAAATCCCATGTCATAATCATCATTAATTTAATCCAATTAACATATGTTTTATACGCCAACTGTGATGCATAATATGACTTTTGATATTGGTTGAAGGCCTGCGTTGAATTGTGCGGTTTATAAATTAAGAAACTTGTTCAAGAAAATTTTAAGCTAGACTGATTATCCAAAAAATCTAAGGCTTTCACATTGGGATTTTTTGACCAAATCAAGATTGAAATAAAAAGATGGTAGAAGAAGAAATGAAGCATACTAATAGCAGAGTGGAAGAAAAACAAATGTTAGAAAATAATACATAGATAATTGTGCATACTTGGATTTCAAATTCCAAGCCTTGTTCTAAATTAAAAAAAAAAAAAAAAAAAAAAAAAAAAAAAAGAAAAAGGGGGGGGAAGGGGTTTTTTTTAAAAAAAAAAAAAAAAAAAAAAGAAGATGATAATGGGGGAGAAGGGGTTTCTGATTTCCATGACATTTATGTCTAAATCTGGGGACAGTGAACTGTACTAAGAAAACACATGATTTCCCAAAAAGAAATGCACAAAGGAAACTTTTTACCATGTACTATCTGTCCCCAAAAAAAGGTGTTTTCCCATCAGAATATATATTCATGATTTCCAACCTACCCCTACCACCACTTTCCCACAAAAATCTGAGAATCTTTTAACCCCATTAAAAACTTCTCTTTTGGTTCTCTTCCCAAATCTCTTTGATTTTACCCACAATCACCATCAACATCACTAGTACTAGTACTACTAGTAATAGTACAAGACCCTTTCCTCTGTCTTGTTTTCATCAAACAAAAAGTTGTTGTTGTTGCTGCAGGTTGTACTGGTACTACTAATCAGCTGCTTAATCTCCTCAAGACCATACTCTAGAAATGAACCCTGATTTGATATCCCCCACCCATTTACAAAATTCCCATCTGAGATTATGGCCTTTTGATCCTCCTGACTAATCACAACCCCGTTGTGGTAATTATTACAAGTCCCTGATCTTCCATGACCGATTTGATTGTTGTTGCAGCTTCCGTCAGAAGAGCTGCAACTGGCTTGATCATGACCGCCGCCGCTGCCTCCTCCAGCCCCAAACATTATGAGGCCACCACTACTACTACTATCCTTGACTTGGTAATGTTGTTGCATTTGACTCAATAAGCTCTCTTGGGTACTAACTTGGTGTTGAAGAAAAGAGCCAGAAGTAGTAGGACTACTGAGACTAATTGTGGAGAATGCAGCCATGGGATCAAAACCAGTGGTGTAGGACCCACCAACTGCTTGGGAGTAATGAGAGCCGTATGATGAATGAGATGGAAGTGGTGATGACGAATATGATGATGAAGATGATGATGATATGTTAATGTTGGTTGAAAAGTGAGGTTTTCTCTGGCCTGGCTGATTAATTATGCCCATGAGCTTCTTCTTGAGTTTGGTGTTCCAATAGTTCTTTATATCATTGTCAGTTCTGCCTGGCAACTGAGCTGCTATTATTGACCACCTGCAATACACATTATTTAATCTCAAAATTTTTGTGTCTAATTTACTCATAACTTTAAGACAATCTAAACTTGGCATGCATGAAGATTCTACTCAAAGGTGAAAAAATTGGGAAAAATAAAGAAAGGAAAGTACTTTAAAAATAATACATTCTTTTTCAAAGTGTTAACAAGTTTTGTACTAGATTTTAAACAACATGAAAACCCGGATCAAAATGAAAAAGGCCGAAAAACAATGATATATATCTATATATATATATATATAAATTAAGTACCTGCTTCCAATGTTGGCAAAGAGATTGATGATAATCCTATCTTCCTCGTCAGAGAACTCTCCATGTTTAATGTTGGGTCTAAGATAGTTTAGCCATCTCAGTCTGCAACTTTTCCCACATCTTCTAAGACCTGATCATACTTGAAATTATTAATACACCCCCATATAATTATCACAAACAAACCTTTAAACATAGGGGAAAAAAAAAGCACAAAACAAATGGAAGGGGAGGGACATAGATGAAAGAAAAGAGGAAAGAGTAAAGAAAGAAAGAGAATTACCAACTTTCTGAGGGAGAGCAATCCAATTGCCTCCAGTTCCATTCTTGTCTATGTACTCTTTTAGCTTTGCATCTTCTTCAGGTGACCATGGTCCTTTCTTCACGTTTGCCTTGTCACAACAAGGAGCTCTTCCCATCTCTCTCACTCTCTCTCTCTCTCTCTCTCTCTCTCTCCTTTGAAGATGAGCTTAATATTGCCTTTTGTCTAAATGTAAGACTTGGGTTTTGGACACTAGAGAGAGAAGAAGGATGATCATGTATATATATATATACATATACATATACATATACATATATATAAAAAAAATGAAAAGAGCATAAGTCAAAGGACAGACTCTTAATTTCAATCATAATCTCTAACCTCTCTATGTTGATTAGACAAGAGAACTTTCCATCATAAACAAATCCATGCTGTAGGGACCCCCTCCCAAAGGCCTTACTTGATCTCTCAATGCTTTATATTCCTCCTTCCTCAAAAGAATCCAAAGTCTAATAATTATTATCAAAGTACAAATATTATGGAAAATATTTTTTAAAATGATTGGTTACTTATATATAAATGTGGTAATGTGTATTATTTTCCAAAGCTACATTAGCTATAGACATGCCAAGTCATGTGTGGATTATTATATATATTGTACAAATCTTTTTCATTTCTTTCTTTAAAGATTTTTCAGAGAGGTTCAATTATGTGATGCCTTGTCATCTGTATCTCCAAATAAAATAATTGGACATACATACATATATGTGTATATATATATACACACACTACATATATGTACATGTTATAAAAATGTGTACGTGACAAAAACATGGTGGATTATTACTGATTCATATCTAACTTTCGGCCTTCTGAGTAGAACCATGTTTTTCACGCAGTCTCAAAATTATCATTGCCCTTTACAACTTCTGAAACTAAAGTGGCCATTACAAATCATATTTATATCTAGAAATATAATTTTGGCTTCTATGCAGCTTGATGTGGTAAGATAAACACATGTATACATACATGCATATATATATATATATATTGACATAGTAAGCCTGCTAGTTCTTATAAGTTTTTGAATCAATCCTACTTCAGTGGACCGGGCACATGAACAATACACTTTGTAAAAGATTTAATTATATCCTAAACGGGAATAATATACTCCCTTTCTCCTATAGCTCCCTTAGATTATCTTGGTATGTCACCTTAATCCCTTTATTTATTTTTTAAATATATATCCTTTTCTTTAGTAGTTCCCGATATATTAGTGGCAAGTTTTCTCCAAATAAACTAATTAAAAATTCGACCAAACTATGAAAAGAAAATTTTGAAAAATATATATGATCTAATATTCGTTTAACTTTTATATTTAATTTGTATGCTTCAGTAATAGTTATATATATGCACTTAGGACGAGTTTTTAATATTTACATTCCCATCGCGGTTACTTGTTAAATATGGAAATTTGATAATGTGACATGATAAGAATTTAGTTTCATTATTTATATGTCTTCTTGGATATCTTATAATCATTTTATTTAATTAAATACAATGTGAAATTACCAGCTGATCAATTACCTAACACTAGCATGTTCGTCCAACACAATTTTTTTCCCTTCTTTCAACATCCAATCAAAATTCTCTATAGTTCTTTGTGATCTTTAATTTTACCACACAAAAAAATACCAATAATGTGATGGCTACATGGTCATATGCCAAGCCAAAATTTAATTAATGCTTGTTGCTGGACCACATGTAATTTAGTCACAATCTGTGAATTGCTTTGGATTAAAAATACTTTACATCTTCTATTTTCTAAACTCTTAAACTAAAACTTTCCCATTTGGTCGGCTGAAAAATTAATATTCACCCTTGATAATTTAGCAATTTGTGACCTTTTTTTTTTCTAACTTGATATAAAGCAGGCCATATTCTTTGTGGGCTCTTTAATTAATGCTTGTAGTACATAGATGTTCACAAAGTCATACATATATATATAGGTAGAGTAGATTATAAGACATCTATATGTATATCCTATATTAGTCCAATTACAAGAAATTTCCTTTCTGACAAGACAAATAGCAGAAAAATGACCGTCAAGAGAGAATTTATCGTAGCTGGGTAAAACGTAAAAAACTAGGGAAATTTTGGAGCAAAATATGAAGAAACGTGCTTCGACTGGCTTCCTTTTAGTCAAACCCCGTTTTAATCACCATCTATAATTATGGAAAGAAGGGAAAAAAGACACTAAAATAGTTTAAACGGTCAAATTATTCCAGAAAATTTTGTTTCCAGGTTGAGAAGTGTGAAGAGACGAAAAAAAAAAGAGAGAGAGAAAAGTCATTCAGAATAACAGAGGGATTTGACTATATAACTCTTTTTTTTTTTTGACCTTATCCGGTACACTAACATATCGGTATATTTAGGTTTTTATCTGTTGAATCTGCAAAAAATCACGTAAAAATAAAAAAATATACAAATTTAACGGTTAGAAAAACTTAACCTACCGATACACCGAACGTAAAAATCTCATTTTCTGTTAGTAACTTTTTTAATAAAGGAGTGATATGCTAAAGAAATTTAAACGCTACATCTTATAATAGAAACAACATATATGTGTGAATTTATAGTTATATTATCTGTGCAGTTACGGCACTAAAATCTATAACATAGATTGCTCTTTAAAATTCACAAAATTATGTGCAAAAATAATAGCTTACTATTTTATAGCTACTTTATATTTTCATCAAAAAAGATAAGAATGTTTTACCCCATTTTGTAATAAGGTTTCCCATGTAAAGAATATGAAAAAGTTTATACACATTAAAGTCTCGTTCATTTAACCGATTCAAGTTTTCAATTCTATTTTTACTACAGTTAAAAGCTCTCACAAAAAGTCACATTTAACTTTTTTACTACAGTTAAAAACTTTTACATAAAGTCACATCTCAGCTCGAATTGAAAACTCGAATCGGCGAACTGAACGAGGCCTAAGAAACTAATTTAGAGACCAGATTATAACTATAGGTTAAAAATATTTAAGCTTGGTTTAATTTCCATATCTACATGTCTTGAAAGATAAATACAAAAAAATTGTGATATTGTTTTAATATAATAAAAGTAATATGATTCACATCAATCCTTCAATAGCAAGTCTAGTGTTTTGGGCAAACATACATTATTTCAGCTTTTGTTTCTGCTGGCAATTGTACATACTGGATGTACATTTTGATTAGCACCCTTTTAATCATGTGATTAAGTACTTTCAATATGAGTGCTTTGCATTTGGACACGTTATTATTCATTACATTATTGTCAAGATCTACTCATCTCATAGGCTTTATTTAATTATTTTATATATTTTTGATGTAGAAAGCTATAGATGGGAGGCAGAGACATTGTTCACCAATTTGTATAATACTATACTATACTATAATATATATGTATATATATGTATGTATAGATAATAAATGGGACTTATCGCTCAACTTAATAGATATGCTTATATTTATTTGTCTTTAATTTTATATTTATTTTCTAGTAAATTCTATTCTATATATGGTGGTCCAAACACAAACTTTTGGACTAGAAAAAATAAGATAAAATCAATCACAGAATACGTTATACTACTGATTAAAAAATAAAAAAATTGACTAATGTCCATTAATTGTTTCTTTGACAATTGCTATTAATGTAAGTTAATGGAAATGTTCTTAGTATTTATACTCACGCATGGATGCCGATATATGTACGCGTGTATCAGTGCGTGTGATATATGATAGTTCTCTCACTACACCGGTTTTTTTTTTTTTTTTTTTTCAGCAATATTATTAAGAATGGCCGTTTTAGGCCGACATCTAATTCACTTTATAAGGGCAATAATTGCTTAAAAAGTCTCACTTTTTGCAAATAAGCAGCGTTACCCTTTGTGCATGCTAAGTCAAGCTTCATGTCTCGACACACACACACACAGATATATATATATATATATATATATATTCCCATATGCAAAAGGTTGGAAATATATATATATAAATGAGTGATTATCATTACAAAAAATTCAACATTTTACTATTAAAAATATAGTTGGAAAATGTCCTTTTTTAGTTGTAAAACTTTCTGCACAAAATTAATATTTGATCACAATTTGATCGTAAAAATTCGGTTGCAAAAAATTTTGTAACAAAAAAATTCTTGTCTTTTACGACCAACATTTTGTAGTAAGTCCTTAATATAAGCATTATTTTTAATTTGGAATTTATAAAGTAACCAAAAACATATGCTCTGTGACAAAAACATGCCTAATTTAATGAGCTTATATATGTATATATATTATATATATATATATGAGTGAGTATACATCCTTAAGAGAGATCAGAGAGAGTAATATATACGTGCATGTATGCTGATTACTACTGTTGTTGATGGTGAAAATTCATCAACAAAAATATAACAAATTTTAAAATGGTTTGTGTGAATTTAATGATTTAAAACACGATTAAAAGCAATGACCACACGATAATTATAGTGGTTCATCATTGATTCAAGAGCTACATTTATTGTAAGGAGGAGAGAATTTAATATCTTTAGAGGAACTACACACATTAATGCTCAGAATGAGACTTAGAGATTTCTCGACCTACAATCCATTATTTATATCGTTCCTTATCGTCATAGTTGGTTTCTCTATTCAATTCAAGGATATTTCCCTTATTTTTTAGGATATTTTTCCAAAAGATAGAGATTACAATTAATCAGGACGATTTCATTGCTTAAATTTCGTATACTTCAATTACAATAGCAAATCCCAGAGCAAACCTCGCATATCTCTCGACTTGCGTAGACTCGACTTCATAAGCACTCTTAGAACCATCTTCGCCTATAATGGTTGGTGCGGTCGACCTCATGCTGTCCTTTGCATCTCCTTAGAGCGGTCGACCTCCTATGTATGTTACACCTTTTACAAGCAGTCTGCTCCTAACAGAGTTTCCATCCGACGTGACGGTTAAGACTGAACTGTTTTTGATCATTTAATACCCTCATTTATTACGCGTAGACCCCATTCAATACTTGATTTAGGGTTTGAGATTTTACCCTCCAACAACTACATACATATAAAATCTTTATTCTAATGGAGAATAATAAATAATAATAGAAAAAAGAACACTAAACCAATCTGATCCATGAGAATTACTTGATACTCATGCATGCAAATTATATTAAAGAAT